AAATTGCACATTTTTGTATTCCTGTACATTTTAACGTGTGTTAAAATATTTCCACTTTTTGTATTCATTTTTAAGAGTTGAATATATATTTTTTGCTTTTAGCTTTTATCTTATTTTTAAAAGTAAATTTAGACATGTATATTATTTTATTCTTTTAATATTCTTTTTAAATAAATGATGATAAATGATATGATACATACTTTTCAATAATAGCATTAATAAAAAAATTCATGAAATCCTTTATTAACTTATACTATTGCAAAGATAAAATAAATCAGTTATTAAAGATGAGTTAAAACTTTTATGTTTAGAAATGTGTTGAAAAAATCTTCTATCTGTTAAACAGAAGTTGGGGGGAAAAATAAACAGGGGGGCTGTACATACAAGACATGTCTCCTATATAGCTCATATTTCACTTTGGCACCTGACATACATCATGCCCAGCTCATATTTTCTATTATCAAGGCAATAACTAAGAACTAACTAAAGACAAATGCAAATAGCGAACACTTGGCATTGGTATCACATGTAATTGGCATGTTATGGAATTGAACTATGGCAAATAAGGAAGTTAGAGGAGATGGAAAGCTAAGATGTCTACACGTTTTCTTGAAACACAAGGTCAATTCTTTCTTGTATGAGGATAGTGGAAAAGAAGGAAATATATAACAAAACGGTTAGAGTTTTTATATGTAGTTTTGTTTCTGTTCAGTTTCTACATTTTATTTATGCTTTATTTATGTTGTCTAGTTGCTAGATTTTTTAACTCTGTTTTTATTTAAGTTTTTATAAACATAGTATACATAACATTTACTTTGACAAATGTTTTCATTCACAAAGAAATAAACAAATAGATAGAAATTATAATAAATAAATAATAGTGACAGCTTAAAAAAAGGGGGAAAAGAAAGGTAGATAAATAAATAAATGAACTCCGGTATAAAGGCAATAACTACAGCAAAGCCCCTGACAGCATTTCAAAGATCAAGTATGTTTCGATTAATCCCCAGGTCTGTTGGGAAAATATCTGGGAAAATATCTCTGTTTCAGCCGCTGTGTCCACTCTGCAAGGTCGGCAGGTCTTCATCCAGTTCACTGTAATATTCTTCCGAACTGTATTAACATTTTGTGGTGCAAATAGACTTACTGAACCTATCAGGGGGAAAGCTATCAAGCAAAAAAATAAAAAAATAAAATAAAATATATATATATATA